CTTCTTAGGTTGCTTTGACAGTTGGACACAGTGTTATATATTTGGCATATCAACAACTGGGGCTTGAACCCAGGATCTCACACTCTACACTGAGTCATAACCCAGCTCTGGCATATCAGCATTAATATTAATTATATTATATTTTCTATTAAACTATAGCTTCCCTGAAGACAAAATGTGGGTCTGTTTTTATTAGTATCCATAGTGTTGCTGTCTTGTTGGTGCCTTAAACAGAGTATGAACTCAATAAATGTCTTTGACTTTTATGAAAACTAGTCTGATGAACTCAACATCAGGAGGCTGGGCCTAGTGGTCCTGTACTTAGAAATCTAGGATAGGAGACTCTCAAGTTCAAGGCCAGCCTAGAAGGACATATGGTTTTGGAAGAACTTTACTTATGTTGTCAATGAATCCTCACAGTAGCTGTATGAAGTAGATATCTTTAATAACTCATTCTAAAGGTAAGAAAACCAAGTCATATGCCAGGGTCAGTCAAAGTTAAGAGTTCAAGTTGGCCTGACCCAAAATCATATGTCCCAACTGACCCCAGACTAACTGGCCTGCGGCTTTCTTCCTTCCCCTGGGCAGAGAGATGGGAATGGGGCACATGCAGAATGAGATGATTTTGCAAAAGCTTTTCTTCTTTCTCAGAAACTTTGCTAATTTGCTCTTGATCCAAAAGCCCCTATTGCAGGGCAAAAGCCCTACTCATGGCTTTTTTCACCTCTTTCTTTCCTCCTCATTTTGCCTTTAGGCCTAGTCCTTCGCCTTGTGGCGGGACTTCCTGAACTCACAGCCACTGGTAACTAAAAAACTGCCTTCTGAGAATGCCAAGTTCCCTAGGAGTACCTTCCCCAGCCTGGGAGAGAAGATCCTGTGTTGCTTCCCCAGGTCTCATCTAGGATGGACGTTTCAGAAGACAGTCTCTTCTAACTTCCCCTTCCTCCAGGAAGTCTCCCCAGTTCGGGTGAACTCCATAAGCCCTGATCACTCAAATTTTATGCAAATTCCATTTGTTCTGTACTGATCTGAACTCACAAGGAATGATCTGTCAGCATCCTATGTCTGCTTCTGTGTGCCTATGTCTATACATTTGTTGGAAGCCCACAAGGGAGCCATGTGTAAGCAGAAGGTCCCAACAAGGCCTGTGTTCAGGCAGGAGCCCTCTTTGGTGGCTGCAGGAAAGAAAGAGAGGTGCTCCCTGCTGAACCCTTGCAGCCCTACTACCTCATCTTGAAGAAGTGTGTCAGCTGCTGCTACTTTTTCAGCTGCATTCATTCCTGAAACTTGACCCTCCTCCCCTTCCAGGCAGGGAGAAAGGGCCTGTTCTGTAGCTATCAACTTAATTGAGCCAGGGTCCATGAACTCTCAGTTGTTTCTCTCTACTGTTCACTTGTTACAATGTAAATTTTCTGCTTCAAGAAATTGGAAAATTCAGCTACTTTAGTTTTCTGGAACTCTTCTTCACCACATTTTCAGGGCCAAGGACGGGGCAGGATGGAGTTGAGGAATACAGACCACCCTGGACAAAAACATTTCACAACCTCTTAAGGTTGCCTTTTGTAACATGTTTATCTCACGGAGTCTACAGGATGTATGGTTCTGGAAGGGAATTGAGCGAAATAAGCAAAAGGAGGAATTAATTAGAATTTCATGAGTCCATTCCTGGGCAAGAACCCTTGGGTGGCACAGGAGGTCCTGTCTAGAGTGAACCCACTGTAGAGCAAAAGCCCTACTCATGGCATCACACAACTGTATGTATTGCCTACTCCACTGCAGCCCCAGGGTACAAAGGAGCCCAAGGTTCACTATCCCAGCCCCAGCCAAGCCCCACTGAATTCAATTCCTACAGTCCCTGGAAGGGTCAACCAGGCTAACTGTACTTTGCTTTCTCTTTGCTCCAACTGAGGATAATGAGGCACTGAGATTTAACCCTGGTGCCTGAGCATTGAGTTGATTGGGTTGAAGTGTCAGTGAGGGAATGAGACTCAAATAGCTCTGCCTGTCTATCTATTGCTCTGTCTCCTCTTCTATCAAGCTGGCATTGAGGAGGGAGCAGAGCATCATGGGGGGGGGTGGAGAATTCTCCCATCTGAGTGTCATTCTGGGCCCTAGGCCAGGCCTTTGGCTTCCTCCTCAAGAGAGTCAAAGGCTGGAGCCGCTCAGACAAAAGGCCAAAGGAAAGTTGGTGGGGAGCTGGGTGACTTTAGCCTCTCCCCTTCCTTCTCCCTGGCTCAGGGGCTCATGGCCTTGGTGTGGGGAGGGGGGGTGCAAATCAAGATGTGGAGCTCTGCTTAGTGCAGACTCCTATTTGCCTTTTTTAATTCTCCTGGCATCCACAGACTGTCTTCCTCCCCTCACCACCTCCCACCTAGGGTGCTGTAAAAAATGCAAATCAGTAGGATTTTAAAAATTCGTTCTCATGCCAGGAACACCCACAAACCCTTTATAGAGGCAGATCCTGATGTGGGTGGCGTGGTCCCAGGTTCCAAACACAAAGAGGCGGATTCTATTAGAATCTTTTCTCAGCATGGGCCTGGGTCTTGATCTTTCTGGTACTGGACATATGAAGTGGGAATATGAGACTTGTGTATGTGTGGGCTGGGATCACCAGCTTGAACTGGCAGGATATGCATATGAAAACTGGTAATGGAAGGGGCATGGTATAGGTTCAGAAGAGCCACAATGGACACTTTGACTCTCACCAAAGAAGTGTTTCTCTGGGCCAGTAACTTTCACAAGTGTCACCACAGAAAGGCCTTAGGGGGAAAGGACTGAAGAAGTGACCAGAAACCCGAGAAGACAAAGCTGGAGTAGGACAGTCAGGGAGAATCAATGACAACACCTGCTACTTCAGTCTGGTTCCCCTACCCTACTACCACCAAAGCCTCCCCTAACACACTGCCAAGTTCCCTCCCAAGCAAGAAGAGTGAAGCCTCTGCCAGCAGCACTGGAAGGGCTGTCATGGGATCTTGTCAAGGGCTCTGGGCCCTTCCTGGGTCCAGGTCTGCTGTTGTGTGCCTGGATGACCTGGCTCTGAAAAGAAGAGGGAAGCAAAAGCAGATAGAAGAGTCTATGGCAGGAAAGATACAATGAAAGAGACAGAGATGGAGTGAGAGGCAGAAGCTAAGAGACTAGAAAGTCTGGATGAAGAGGAAGGGCAGAGCAAAGATGCATGTGCCTACCTATTTATCTGCCTGAATCCTGGTGCGAGGGTGTGGGAGAGGAATGAGGTTATGAAATCAGAATCTACCTGGCCTCCCTAACACTGCAGTCACTTCTCCCTTTTCTGTGATTCACTCCCCCTGCACAGGCTAAGCTACTCAGTCCCCTGCACCCCGGGGCCTCCACACACTCCCAGCGCACTCCCTAAGCCCAGACCTGACATCTGGCTGGGCCTCCACAACTCCTGCTCGCGATCTGCCAGGCGGCGCCCCTCCTCCCCCATCATTACAGCTGCCAGCCCCCTCCCTGCTGGCAGGCAAGCCCAGGCAGACAGCCGGCCAAGCCTGCCCCCGCAGCCGCGCCAGCTCTGCCAAGCCCAGCAGAGTTGGGGGCCCGGATGGTGCCAGCTCCCCTCGAGCGAGCAGTTCCCAGTGACCTCCTGCCCTGGGCTGTGATCAGCCCGCGCGCAGCAGGCGTCCAGCACCCGAGGCACCAGCGCGCACCGCCTGTGCCGGTGGCTCCCGCGACTCGGGGGCACTGAGTCTTTCTTAATCCATCCTCCCTTATGCCTGTCCTCTCTAGGTGGACCCTCTTTTCTTCCTTGGCTGCTCGGTCACATTTCAGCCTGACTGGCTGCTGTTTCCCAGTCACTTGTTCTACACTCATCGCAAATCTTTGCCCAAACTTTCCTGCCCCAGAGTATGGCCCTGGCCTCTGCCTACCGCTAGCCACCCTCTCCTGTCTCCTCCCACTCCGGTCCCACCCTAAGCACCGAGCCTGGGGCGGAGGCCAGGTACCTATCAGGGAGGAGCAGCCCTCCCAGGATGCCCGCTCCTATCTTACCAGCTCCTGTTTGAGGCGACGCAGATAGCAGTCCATCTCCCTGCTCTTCTTCCTCATTCGCCCATTTGCCGGGCTCCGCTTCACGAGAGTCGGGAAAACCTGGCTCAGTGGTTTAAAACTGCGGGCTCCGCGGTTCTCGCCGCGCAGTGCCGAGTCTCTGCTCGACTGTGGGGACGGAGAGCCGCGTCCCCCTCGGCTGCCGCGCGCAGCCCGTGTTGGGGGCGGAGGGAAAGTGCAGCAGCCAATTAGAATTCAGGGGGGTGTCTTCAGCCAATGACAAGAGTAGCGGGGAATTGGGCGGGGGGTGACCCAGGTCTGTCTACAGGCAGCCACCCGCAGCAGCTCTGTATGGGGACGTGGGGAGGTAGGGTGTGTGTGGAGGGGACAGAGGTCTTGATCCTGCTGTGCGCACCGCGGGGCAGCGGAACCCCAGACTGTGCCAATGCCTCCAATCAAGTGTGTGATCTATTGGTTATAAAGGAAGAGCGAAGTTTTAGGGGTGAGGACTGTGCAGACCACTCACGCAGAAGTGTCATAGTGTCAATCATCTGAATTCCCATCAGAGAAGAAACGGCCCCCTCTCTTGTCCCCCTGAAGTCCTTCAGGAGTCTTTTCAATGTATATTTTTTATTGAAGCTTTGTGCCTTCATACACCTTAATCATACTTAGGCCCCCTCCCCATCTGCACCTCTTCATAACCCTACACCAGATTTCATGCGTCTGTCCTATATGTTAAGGCCTATCAGAGTCAAGCTTGTGTACCCAGGTGTCCCTCAATTTGAGTTAATCCACAGGAGTTTAGTCAGCCAATCTAGAGTCAGACTCCCTTGAAGAAGATCAGCTCTCTTAAACTAAAAAGATGGCTCAATGGTTAAGAGCACTGACTGCACTTGCAGAGGACCCGGGCTCAATTCTCAGCACACACATGGCCGCTAACAACAGCCAGTAAACTCCAGTTCTAGGGGATCCAACACCTTCTTCTAACCTCCGGGGGCACTGCAGGTCACTTACACACATGCAGGCAATACACTCATACACATAAAATAAAAATATTTTTTTAAGAAAAGAAGATCAACTCTCCCTCACCAAGCAGCGGAGAAGCCTTTTTCTTTCTAAAGAGGACACTGGAAGTGCGGCCCCACTTTCTCACTGGCGGAAGGAAGGCGCTTCCTCTAAGTCTCTTAGCTTATTTCACAGGAAACAATGGAGGTTTTGCTGCATTCTTCGCCAGGTGGTAGGCTTGGGGATACTGGGTAAGACAATGTCTCTGCCCTCTAGAAGTTTTATCATGGGGGAGAAGGAGAAATGGAACAAACAATAAATATAAGCACGGGGATTTCAGAAAGTGAATTTAAATGGAAAGATAAAATGGGGCGATGGGATGGGAGGGCTGTTTTCAATAAGGTGGGCAGGGTTGGGGGAGAAAGGCCTTGAAGATGCTTAGATCGTAATCGACAGACATGGCCCGGGACTCCGAGGTATGTAAGCTCTTGTCTGACCTGAGGGGTGGAGTTGGGGTGCAGCATGCGGGGAGCTCCTGCGGGCTAGCAGAACTCTGAACTCCTCACTCGGGTCTCCGGGTCTCTGGGCTGCTTGTCTGGCTGCGATTCCTGTGATTCCTCCGATTCCTCCGATTCCTCCGGGTAAGCAAAAGCAGTGCTACCGGGACCGCCAGGCTCTGTGAGGTAGAGCACGAGAGTGATTAGGGTAACTGCTCTATGTTGTTTCGAGGTAATTAATGGGGGAAAGTTTGCCCTGGGCAAGACTTTGGAGGTCTGCTTGGGACAGAACCAGTAGGACTCGAGAAGGCGCCAAGGGAGACGCAAGCACTTCGGGCATTCATTTGCCAGCCAAGATCACTTCTGCAAACAACTGGAAAATGCTGGGCAGAGGCAGGCGCACACAGAAGGAGCTTGGTGCCGCGTCCCCTGTTTCTGTTCTCAGTTTCGCAGAACGGTGCTGCGAATCCGTTCAGGAGTTCCCAGTGCCCGCTGGGGAATCTAAAATGACTTTCTCATTGCTCTCCCGATGGCCAAGTGCCTGCCCCTCAGGCCAGAGCAGCATCAGCCCTCTGGTCCCGCATCTTGCAGTTGTCAGTGAGTCAAGTTACTCCTACCTGCCATCCTCACCATCTTTGTGGGCCAAGGAGGTGTTAGGATATGAATTATTAGAACCACCAAGCAGTGGTTTCCAGCCCACGGGACAAGTTTTGGAGGGACACTCTGGGGTTGGGATAGAAAAATAAGACTGGACTATCGAGGCCAGGGAGATAACCTTACACCTGAATGGGTGTAGGTGTAAGGAGGGAACTCCTTGAATGGCTTTCCCTGTCCAGAGGACCTTATTTTGCATACCTAGACCTCCAGCCTCCAGAAAGCAGCCAGCTGTAAGAGCTCTGGGGAAACAATGGCAGATCTGTGATTGAAATCATCTTTGGGGTGCTTTTCTCCATCCCTGAAACCTCCTGGGTTTGAATTTTCTCAGAATTTAGGACACTTACTATGGTTAAAACTCCAAGAGAAGCAGGCTGGTCTCTTGACAAGAACTTAGCCCTGGTGGTCATTGCTCTAGTGACAATTGGCATGCTTTCTTTTTTACTGGGCCTCAGTTGCTCTTGCTTATTTAAACTCATGTGAGTCTAACACACCTTAGTCTTTACAAAACTCTCATTTAAAGATTTACTTTTGTGTATGTGTTCGTGTGTGTGTGTGTGTGTGTGTGTGCCATGTTTACAGGTGCCCCAGAAGAGGACATGGACTCCCCTGGAACTAGAGTTATAGGTAGTTGTGACCCATGCCCATCCCCTATACCCCTCACCCCTACCCCACCCCTCTACTCTCCTAAGCCCTCCACTCTCTGTCCCTTTACTCCTCCTACCCTGTGAGTCCTAGGAATGGCACTCTGGTCCTCTGGAAGAGCAAGAAGTGCTGGTAAGCACTGAGCCATCTCTCCAGCCCCACAAAACTCTCCTCTAGCTAGATGTGGTAGTACATGCCTTTAATCCCAGCACTTGGGAGGCAGAGGCAGGCAGAGCTCTGTGAGATGGAGGCCAGCCTGTACAGGTGAAGAATACATTGTTAGCAAAGGCAGCTCACATTCCATCCAAGATGGAGGAGATGACAAGAAAATAACTGATAACCATAATCTTCATGCAGGGCTCAAAAGAGAAGTCCTAAACAGGTCAGAGATGTATGTTCTGCTGTATGGCTCCTGGAGGACTTCAGAAGACAAGTACCATCAAGTTCTTTCATGATGTCAGGCCCTGCAAGCCTGAGGTTAGTGTCGCTCAGGGGTGTGTGTTCTCTTCTCTCTCTCTCTCTCTCTCTCTCTCTCTCTCTCTCTCTCTCTCTCTCTCTCTCTGCTCTCCTCTCCTCTCCCCCCTCCTTGTTTATGAGGAAGTAGTGCTTCTTGAGGCAGAGCAAGAGGGAATAGGAAAAAGAGATGCCTTTTGCTGTTTCTTCTTTTTTTAAAGGGCTTAAGTGATAGTGAATACAGCCTGTTGCCATGGTTATGTAAACATGGGTAAATATTCCTGGCCTGAGGTTGGGGGCTGGGGGACAGGATTCATTTTTACTGAAGAAGAATCAGATGGCTCAGCCTACACCCTGCCACCCCCTGAAACTTAGCCTAGAGACAGAATATAGTTATCACAATTGAAAATAGATAATGAAGAGATCAGAAGCCTTGAGACTGGTTGAAAGTATACTTCTCAAAGCCATCCAGAGCTGGACTGGAACCCTCAGAAGGTACGTGGGCATTTGCCCCAGCTAGTGAGGATGAATGACAGGCACTTTTCCTAAGGGAGGGTATGCATTTCCTAGAACTGTATCAAAAAGTATCAATCCCTTGGGACTTGCACTTTGCTTATTCAGGGAGGGTGGCCCCTTTGTCCCACTGCCAGAGCCTGAAGGTCCTGGCACACATGGATGAGCTTGAAAAGTGAGGTAGAGCCAGCTGTGCCCCAAAAGAACTCATCCTGAACTAAACAATGAAACACCGCCATTCTTCTAGCTTCAGATCCTGTGGCCCCAACCTGGAGGGTCCCCACCCACCAAGTCTTGGCCCAGTTATAGGAAGACACACCCCATTTGAGGTGGTGCCCAACTTCTCATCTCCACTGGTGACAGAAGAGCTGAGAGATGCGTGGCCACACACATTCTAGAAACCTCAACATAACAAGCACCTTTGCAAGGGTGGGGCCATGTCCCTATTGCCCTCCTTCCTCACCTCCTGTGGCTGCAGAAACCATTATCTTCCTCTTCCTCCCCTCCCCCATTCCATGCCTCCTGAGCATCAACAGGAAAGGCTGACCTTAGAGATAAACATGTGCTGTTGGAATGTGTTCAGATACCACAGCAGAACAGCCATTCTCCAGGGAATGGACTTGTCTCACAGGCTGCCCAGAGGTGCTGATGGGAGACTGCAGTGCTGGTGTTTGAATACACAGGAGTAGAGTGGGAGGTGGACTGGACCGAGGCTTCGCTATTCTTCAGTATTCTCCTGGTTGGCATAACTCTGCTCTCAGCAGACAGAAGACTGGCCTCCTGTGCCCCCTTGTAGTCTCATCACCAGGAGGGGCAGCAGAGTGAAGTAGCCTATATGTTTCAGTTTTAGGATAAATCTTCACTCTGAGTTTGAATAAAGACTTTATGGGGACTAGAGAGATGGCTTAGTGGTTAAGAGCACTGACTGCTATTACAGAGGACCAGGGTATGGGTTCTAGCACTACATGGCAGCTAACTTCTTTAACTCCAGTCCCAGGGGATCCAATACCTGTTTCTGACTTCCACAGGCATTGCACGACATGGGTGCACTTATCTACATGCAGACAATACACTCATACACATAAAATTAAAAATAATAAAACATTTTAAAAAATATTTTATTTATTTTTTTATTTTATGTGTATGTTTTAATGTGTATTTTAATGTGTTTTTAAAAATATTTTTTTAATTTTATGTGTATGGTGTATTGCCTGCATGTGTGTGTGTAATGCTCCTGCCCTCATTTTTTCCTACCCTCAAAATATGAGCCTAAATAAATAAAATATTTTAAAAATATTTTATTTTTTATGTGTATGTTTTAATGTACATTTAATGTGTTTTAATGTGTATTTTAAAAATATTTTATTTATTTATTTTTTTGTTTTATGTGTATGAGTATTTTGTCTGTATGTATGT